GTGGGGCTGGTCGCCGTCTTTCGCTTCCACAACGACCACGGGACGCCCAACATGTATTCGCTGCACAGCTGGCTGGGACTGGCCACCGTGCTGCTCTTCTCCTGCCCAGGTGGGTCTGCTCCAGCCTCCCGCACCCCAGCCCCTCGTCCCCGTCCCCCTCTCACCTTCCCTCCCTGCAGTGGCTGGCCGGCTTCAGCGCCTTCTTGTTGCCCTGGGCTCCTACCTGGCTCCGTGCCCTCTACAAGCCCGTCCACGTCTTTTTTGGCTCCACCATCCTCATGCTGTCCGTGGCCTCCTGCGTGTCGGGCATCAACGAGAAGCTCTTCTTCAGCCTGTGAGCGTCGCGGGGCGCGTGGGGAGAGCACTTGCAGGGAGGGAGGTTTGGGAGGAGGGGGATGGATTGGTCTGTTTGTTGCCTCTCGGTGTCAGAAGTAGCATTGGGTGAAACCGAGCACGGGGCGGCGAAGGGAAGTGAGCGATTCCTCCCTTAGGTGTGTGGTTAACCTGCACAGCTCCCTGCTGCAGGGTGGGCGCGGGGTTGCGTGGGCTTAGAGGAAGGTTGGGCACATCCAGGAAAGCTCTCGGTCCCTTTTCTCCCAAGGAAGAACGGGACGACAGAGTACAAGCGCCTGCCCGCCGAGGCTGTCTTTGCCAACACGCTGGGGCTCCTCATCCTCCTCTTTGGGGTGCTGGTCCTGGGTGCCCTGGCCAGGCCGAGCTGGAGGCGCCCTGACGCCGACTCCCCGGACTCTTGTCAGGTACCAGCTCTGCTGTGGGGACACGTTGGGTGACATGGTGGCTTTGGGGAGCCGAGCTGGGGGACGTGCCTCACACCACAGCCCCAGCTGGCCCATCCCCGGGGGTGGGCAGGGGGATGCAGGTACTGGTCTCACTCATGCTCTCCCCACAGCCCCTGCTCACTGCCGAGCGCTGACACCTGCGCGGCAGCCGAGGTCTCTCCCTGCCCTGCCGGGGCTGCCAGCCCCGAACTCTCCATCCCCATCGCTCCCCTGCCTGCTCTGCCGGTCCTGCCCTCGGCCTGTCGCCTTGCCCTCACCGGGGACTCCCGCTGCCTGCGCCCGACACTCATCTGCCCGCGGGAGGAACGGGCTCAGCTCCCTTACGGCAGAGATGTGCTGCGGTGAGGACGTCTCTTTGCCTCTTTCGTGGCCCGGCCTTGGCCTCCTGCCTGCCGTAGGATGAGGGCAGCCGCAGCGTGATGCTCCTGCCTGCATCCTCGGGCCTCTGCTTGCCAGTTCCTGCTGGGTCCAGCTGGCTCCTTGCGCCTGGACTTCGATCTGTGCCAAACTGGCTGCCCTTGAGCCCTCCCCGGTCTGCACACTGCCATCTTTCAGCGCGGTGGCCGGAGCTGTCGGAGCCTCATCGGGTCAGAAGCCACCAGAGGAGCACCCCTGTGCCTGGCAGTTCGGGGGCAGCAGCGCTATCTCCTGCGTGGTGTCCCCTCCTTGGGGCAGCAGGGATGGAAGGGACCCTCGCACCGTGCCTTGCCCTTCATCGGGCTGTCTGTGCCTCTCCCTCCGCCGTGGCTGTGGGTGGTGGGACCAGCCAAGAAGCTTCACGGTGCCCTCGTGGACACGTAATAAACCGCTGGCTTCTGCAGCGCTCATGCACCCGTGTCCTTGGGGACAAGGGGAGGGCCCCAGGAGCTGGGGAAGGAGAGGTGGGTGATCAGGGAGCAGATCCCGGTGCTGGCTGAGCCCGGCCACGCTGCCTGGGGTCCTTGTCCCCTCCGAGGGGCTGGCTTGTCCTCGGCTGGCTCCTCCCCTCCCCTCCGCCACCGGTAGCTGGAGCCCCCTTGGCAACCTGGGCTCACGCCGGCTGGTCCCTTCCTCACCCCAGGCCCTTGTCCCAGCTCGGGGGCCCCCTGTGCTGCAGGGCAGGCTCTGCCCCGTCCCCTGGTTCTTCTCTGTCCCTTTCCCAGAGCCTCCTCCAGGCCCCGTGCCTTGGGCCATGTGAGCCCTGTGGTTTCCCCTCCCAGCACCCGGTGGAGAGGGCTCGTGGCCGGCCCAGAAGTTTCCTTCCTCCCCAGCGCAGTCACGCTCGCGCTGGAGCACAGGACCAGCTGGATCGGTTTTAAACTGAAAGAGGGGAGGTTTAGATGAGATAGCAGGAAGAAATTTTTCCCTGTGAGGGCGGTGAGCCCCTGGGGCAGGTTGCCCCAAGAAGCTGTGGCTGCCCCATCCCTGGAGGTGTTCAAGGCCAGGTTGGACGGGGCTTGGAGCAACCTGGGCTGGTGGGAGGTGTCCCTGCCCAGGGCAGGGGGGTTGGAACGAGATGATCTTCAAGGTCCCTTCCAACCTAAACCATTCTATGATCTCTGCTCCTCTCCCCCTTTGCATGAGGACATGTTCTGGAAGAGCTGGTGCCATCCCCACCAGCCCCAATCCCAACCATCCCATCCCCCTTCATGTGGATGGATGCTCTGGGCCAGCTTAGGAGGACCACAAAGGTTTATTGGGGTTACGGGGGGTGCGGTGCCGAGTCCCCTGTCACCGCTGCCTCCCCAGCTCCGCAGCCCCTCCAGCAC